TTCCATCTCTCAAGTCTCTGTATCTAGCCGACAACATATTCCAAGCATTCAACCATGTTGATGGTATAATTGTCCATTTCTTACTTATAGAAACACGTTCCCTTATTGTTTCATCTTAATATTTATGTGTCCCCATAACTAAATCAATAATTGTATGTTTTGCAGGTTTTGAGAGGCTTTCCAAGTTGAGAAATTTAGAAATCCTTGATCTTAGTTTCAATATGTTGAATAATATTAACTTAACATTTTTGAGTGAGCTGCCATCTCTCAAGTCTCTAAATCTAGCCTGGAGCAACTTATTAGCATCAAACTATGGTATAGATTTGATTTTATGTTATATGCTAAGACATTAGAGTCAATAATTTCAATTGACATTTTAATTTTTTTAATATAATTAATCCATTTATGAGTAGTGAAGGTATAAATTCTTCCTTCCCTTGATAATCTCATCTCAATATAAACCAATTTGTTATGATGTTTTTTCAATATTTTTTTTAATGAAATAAGGAATTAAAGAGAAAGAAAAAGGATGCATCTAATTAAAGAGAAAGAAAAAGGATGCATCTAATTGTTGTTGAAAGTGGAAACTGCTTACTTGAATTAAGAATGTTGTGAACCCATTTATGACAAAAAATAGAAACATGGAATAGTTGCTCACTTGTGTATATAGAGGTCTACGGTGAATTGCTAGTATTGGCACGGAGACAGTAGCAATACTTGGTGGTTAATCTGAGTATATTTTGATGAAGTTGAAATGGTCAATGTATGTGCTACTTACACTCTTCTTATCAAACGGGCGGTGGTGCCAAGGGTGTTGAGACCAAGAGAAAACTGCTATCCTCCAACTTAAACCTTTCTTTAATTCTATATTTTCTCTAAGAAACTGGGTGAGAAGAGGGGGAAAATTCATATTGTTGTCAATGGAATAAGGTTGACTGCAACTTTTACCACTATACCAGTCATCTCACTCGTCCTTACTTTCACATAGGCTGAAGCACATAGTAGCAGTTTAACCGACACGTATCTAAATGCCTCTTTGTTTTTCCATTTGAGGAATTGAAGTCTCACTATGAATTTTACTTGACTAGCTAGTTGCATATTGAAAATGAAGGTTTTTATCTACCTTTCAATTTAGTTAATATTGTGATTTTCAATAATCGAGCATTTCAATATGTATATGATCAGCATATTCATCTCTTCTTGTTGTCCTATCCTACATTTTATTTATGTTTTGTTTTTTAATTGAATCAAAATTAAATTTCTTGTGATCTACTTGCAGGGTTTCTTAAGCTTTCAAAGAGGTTGAGCAATTTGGAAATCCTTACCTTGGATGGAAATTTCTTCAATAATAGCATTTTGCCATATTTGAGTGAGCTTTTATCTCTCAAATATCTATATCTAGCTGGCAACAACCTCCAAGCATCTAGCCTTGTTGAAGGTATAGATGTCCATCTTTCACTTATTGAAACCTATTTCCTTATTGTTTCATCTTACTATATTTGTGGCTCCAAAATTGAATTAATAATTGTACGTATTGCAAGTTTCAAGACATGTTTTAAGTTGAGAAAACTGGAAATCCTTGATCTAAGTTATAATATGTTGAGCAATAATAGTATGTTATCATCTTTGAGTGAGTTTCCATCTCTTAGTCTTTATCTCTAGCTGAAGACAAATTCGAAGCATCTAACTATGCTGATGGTATAGATGTCTCACTTTCCCTTACAAAACCGATTTCCTTATTGTTTCATCTTAATGTAGATGTGGCTCCAAAACTAAATAAATAATTATATATATTGCAACTTTTGAGAGCCTTTCTATGTTGAGAAAACTTGCAAACCCTAGGTCTAAATCACAATAAATCAACGAATATTATCATCTTTGAGTGATAACTAACAAAACAAATTAGCTAAAAACTATACGTTACAGTTCTAATTTTATGCTATATGCTTAGCAAATTTAGATGCTTGTGAACAACATGCTTTGATTGTTGATTTGTAACAACTGATTTAAAAATGCTATCAAGACTTGATCATTTGGAGGTGCTCGACCTAACTGGAAGAATAAACTTCAGCTACAGCATCCTATCATCTTTGGCAAGCCTTCCATCCTTAAAAACTTTATTCTTAGGACCTACTAAAATAAAAATGAACCGGAGTACAAGAGGTAAGCTTGGTTTATCTCCATTTTATTATTACAAATATAATTTTTCCTTTCAAAAATGTGCCATCTTGTTATATTTTATTGGCCTAAAAATTTTTATGCTAAATTTTCATCTTTACTGCAATTTCTTTTTCATCTTCTTAGAATATTTTTGTTACAAATATGTCATTGCTCTGAATTTATTAATTATATATGAAGGAAGATTACATGAATATAATCAATTTTTTTTATTAGGTATTCATAACATGAATATAATCAATTTTTTGTTATTAGGTTTTCCTAACTTGACCAAAGTGGAAGAGTTGTTTGTGGAGGATTCTATCCCCCCAACCAACTTCGTCAATGGCATTGGAGCATTGACTTCTCTCAAGGTTTTATCAATATATAACTTCAAACTCAGTGGCTCCTTAACAAGCCCAGGTTAGTTACAAATTTAAAGAAATAAGAACCAATGTCTAGATTTACCCTTTTTATTTTATTGGCCTAAAAACTTTTATGCTAAATTTTCATCTTTACTGTAATTTCTTTTTCATCTTCGTAGAATATTTTTCTTACAAACATATGTCATTGCTCTAAATTTATTAATTATATATGATGGAAGATTACATGAATATAATCAATTTTTTTTTATTAGGTTTTCATAACTTGACCAAAGTGGAAGAGTTGTTTGTGGGGAATTCTATCCTCCCAAACAACTTCGTCAATGGCATTGGAGCATTGACTTCTCTCAAGGTTTTATCACTATATGGCAGCAATCTCAGTGGCTCCTTAACAAGCGCAAGTTAGTTACAAATTTAAAGAAATGAGAACCAATGTCCAGATCTTACCGTTTTTATTTTATTGGCCTAAACATTTTTGTGCTAAATTTTCATCTTTACTGTAATTTCTTTTTCATCTTCTTAGAATATTTTTCTTACAAATGTATGTCATTGCTCTAAATTTATTAATTATATATGATGGAAGATTACATGAATATAATCAATTTTTTTTATTAGGTTTTCATAACTTGACCAAAGTGGAAGAGTTGTTTGTGGAGGATTCTATCCTCCCAACCAACTTCGTCAATGGCATTGGAGCATTGACTTCTCTCAAGGTTTTATCACTATATGGCAACAATCTTAGTGGCTCCTTAACAAGCACAGGTTAGTTACAAATTTAAAGAAATGAGAGCCAATGTCCAGATTTTACCCCTTTTTGTCAATATATACATACATATATATATATATATATATATATATTGGAGCTATATGACTATGTAAGTGTTGTATATGTTCACAGGCCTGTGTGAATTGACACATCTTCAACAGTTAGATGTTGGATACAATTATATGGAGGGAGCCTTGCCTTCATGTTTGGCAAATTTGACTTCTCTCGAAATTTTAAGCCTCTATTCAAACAAATTTTTTGGAGATATAGCTTTATCACCCCTTAACAAATTGACATCCCTTTATTACCTATCTCTTTCAGACAATCGCTTCCAAATTCCAATCTCCCTTCGACCATTCTTCAACCATTCAAAACTCAAAATTATCAATGCAGAAAACAATGAATTTTATGCAGATACCAACATTGAATCTTTGGAACCAACCTTCCAACTGGATACCTTGGTTTTGTCTGGTTCTGGAGATTGTGGAGCAATTCCAAACTTCCTCCACTCTCAACACGAGCTGAAGTATTTAGACCTCTCGCACCTTAACCTAACTGGAGAGTTTCCCATTTGGTTGTTGGAAAACAACACAATGTTGAACACACTTTTGCTGGTTAACAATTCTTTCTCTGGACCTATTAAGTTGCTAGCTCATTCTCACTTGAGTTTGAAAGATCTAGATATCTCCAAAAATTTCTTGGATGACCATATTCCAATGGAGATTGGAGCATCTTTGCCAAGTTTACAAGATTTAAACATTTCAGGAAATTCTGTTACTGGTAGCATTCCTCCTTCAATTGGTGATATGAAGTTGCTGGAGTCTTTGGACTTATCTCACAATAACTTATCTGATGGAATACCGGAGAAGTTAACCATGGGTTGCTCATCATTGAGGTTCCTTGATCTATCAAACAACAATTTGCAAGGCTAGATTTTCTCTGAGAAATTTAGCTTATTCCTCTTGGAACAATTACGGTTGAATGGCAATCACTTTTCTGGAAGTATCCCAAAAATTTTATCCAAGTGCTCTAATCTATATTCAATAGATTTCAGCAACAACAATCTCTCTGGAAGTATCCCAAAAATTTTATCCAAGTGCTCTAATCTGTATTCAATAGATTTCAGCAACAACAATCTCTCTGGAAGGATCCCCAGCGAGATGGGTAATATGTCAAACTTGGAAGAAATTAGCATGCCCAATAATGGTCTTGAAGGTCCAATTCCTATTGACTTTTGTCATCTTCTATATCTTGGAATTCTAGACCTTTCAAATAACAATATTTCAGGGAGTCTACCAACTTGTTTCAGCCCAGTTTCGATAAATCATGTTCATTTATCCAAAAACAGGCTAGAAGGATCACTGACAACACAGTTTTGTAACAGCTCTTCTCTAATAACGCTAGATCTTAGTGACAACCAGCTAAGTGGTAACATCCCAGATTACATCAATATGCTTGGTGAGTTGAGTTATCTTATCTTGAAGAACAATAATCTTGAAGGTAAGATCCCAATTCAATTATGCAAGTTGCAGAAATTGAGCTTGATTGATCTATCTCAGAACCACCTTTCTGGCCATATACCCTCTTGCCTAAATATTACTACTTTTGATGAGGCAAACAAAGTTGATCTATTTATTCCTTCAGCTTCTGCTGCATCTTCTCCTCCTGCTCCTCCTGTTGCGTATTCTCCTCTTGCTCCTCCTGTTGCATCTTCTCCTTATCCTTCTCCTCATGCTGAATCTCCTTCGCAAACTGGTTCTAAAGATGATGAACCAGTGTATTTCACAACAAAGAATGTGATGTATTCTTATAAGGGAAGACTTCTCACCTACATGTCTGGAATAGACTTGTCCTGCAACAAACTGACCGATGAAATTCCTCATGAAATCGGGCACCTCAGTAAGATTCATGTGCTAAACTTGTCTCATAATTTCTTTGTTGGTCAAATTCCATCTACATTTTCTAAGCTTGACCAACTCGAGAGCTTGGATCTTTCCTACAACAATTTGAGTGGGAATATTCCTCCACAACTTGTTCAACTGCATTACTTATCTATCTTTAGGGTGGCATACAACAATCTATCAGGCAAGACACCAAAAAGGGTCGGACAATTTGGAACATTTGATGAAAGTAGTTATCAGGGTAATCCTCTGCTTTGTGGGGAACCAATGAAAAGTTGCCCAGCAGCAAGTCCACCAACATTGATCCAGGGAGGCCTAACCCAGGGTAGAGAAGATGATGGTTTCATCGATATGGGTGTCTTTTATGTGAGTTTAGTTGTGTCTTACATAATGGTGCTCATAACTATTGCTGCAGTTCTCTACATAAATCCTTATTGGAGACGGGCATGGTTCTATTACACTGAGATGTGCTTTATTTCTAGCTACTATTTTATAGTAGATCATCTACCCAAGCAATTTCATTAGAGAATGTAGCCATATTATAGATGTCATTTCTAAATATGTTCTTTCTTATTGTTTCCTGTTCGGAATTGCAATGAAAAGTCATACATATATGCTCTTTCAAGTAAAAATAGCAAGCAGAGTCTGGGACCTAATTTGACATGAGTCAAGTCGCGGGGAGTATTGATTGGAGTAACGACCTATTGCTATTGGGCAATTGAAGATAATACTTGATTGGAGTAATAACAAGAACTAATTAACTTGGTTGGAGTGATAATTATTACTTGGTTAAAACATAAAAAGAAGATAAATTTGAAAGATAAAATTGAAAAACTTACTAAGAAGTTAGGAATGCATATTTCTTTAGAATGTTAAGTTTATGGGATTTTCTATCCTATACTCTTAGAG